CATATTCGGATACAGTTTTTCGTCCACGATTCGAGAGTTACAAGTACAAAAACCGATTTAAAAAACATTCGATTTGTGTTACGGAGAGACGTGATGATTAGTTTTGGCAAAGGTAGGTGAAGCCGTTTCGAAGTCACGGAGAAAAGAGTTCCAAAGTGGTAATGCAGCTTTTAAAAAAATGGAGAAGAACCCGATTTGATGATTCAAATAACATGTCATTTTTTGACAGACTAAAGTATTCATTAAATTTTTGGGAAAGCAGGTTTAATTTGATAAAAAATGTTTAAAAAAATGAGCTATTTGTCGGTCAAAAATCATCATTAGACATACGCACAACAAATTATCAGATATTTTATAGAAATTTTAACATTAAGTACAACTCGTGTTTACATGTCGATTGATTCGGTACCTAAATTTATTATGTTTAACCGTTGACAGCGATGCGGCGTTTACGCGCTTCGATATTTTATCACTAAAACAGCTACGCAACGCGATCAAATCAAAAAAATTCTTAATTTTCAAGATTTTCAAACTTATAATTCCCAAAACACGGTACGGGAAGTTTCCACCAATTTGCTTTGATGCAAGATGCCGTGCACTACTAGTTCATTTTTTATTGATAATTATTTTTTATAAAATTTTGTAGATTAATTTATTGACTTGATAATTAATATCTATAGCATATGCTGTATGTTACATATAAATATACATATATGTAAAAAATTGTTACATGTACATGTATTACTATAATACAAATTATAATTTAACTAGTGGAGTGTGTGGCATCGTGCCTTAAGGCAAATTGCTGGAATTTCCCGTACCGTAACGAAATGTTCGAGGAATACTGAATGTTTTCAAATAGATTATTATTAATATTGTAACATTGTCTAATATTTATAAGAATTATATAAACTGATTTCAAAGTTAAATTATTTTGTTAAGTTATATTAGAACTTTAGTCAGAATAAAAATAAAATCTGAATTAGTTTCGATATACAAAAAAAAACTAAAAAAAAAATTAAAATATAACAATTTTTTTTCCAAACTCAATTATTTGTTGAGACAAGCAGAAAGTTTTGAATCATTTAAATCGGACGCTTAGTTTCTCAAAAACTGCCATTTTTTACATATTTAGCTCCGTATCTTCGAAATGGCTGGGCCTGCTTTTGCCAAAACTAATAATACTTCTCCCAATCATTACTAATTGAATGTTTTTTTAGATAAATCAAATCGGATACTCCGTTCTCTCAAAAAGTCGATTTCTATTTTTTGCACAGCCAAAACGGCTGGACCTGCCTTCGCCAAAAACTAATCAGCTCTTTTTCCTATCAATAGGAATCGAATGTTTTTTGAAACACTGAAATCGGTTGATCCGTGCGCCCGAAAACGTGACTGGAAATTTGTATCCATACATACATACACATACACACACACATCCATTTTTTCTGAGGTATGCCAAACGTTCAGAAACCTTCGAAACGCCGAGAAATGTAAAAAATTTTCAATTTCGATTTTCGCCCATTGCAATAACTTACCCTACGGAAAGTTAAAAAATATATTTTACAAATTAAATATTTAATAAATCGTACGAATGCCTTCTTTACAAATAAAACAAAACGCATATGAATTTTTCGATATATATGCATGTGATATATTACCTTTGCAATCGCGAAAAACAGTTTGCACAAACGCTACCCATAAATTTTCTGGGCCTCCGCGGCCATTGCACCCGTCCGATGATGCAAAATCCGGTTCTGTCGCTGAAACACTTTCACCGCGATCGCTTTCATGCGAAACAGCATTGCGTGTTTCGTGTCGACAGCAAGAGTAACAAAATTACAAAAACATATGTACATAACGTATTAATATTAAAATGGGACTCCTCACGATAATAAATAAACAACGATATAAAAATAATTAGACATCAAAGTGTTCACAGGTGCGAGTCAACTGTCAAGGTCTCATTGTTAGTAAAACCTGAATAAGGCAAAAGGTGATCTAAGCCGTTACCGTTAGTACGCTTACGGCTGCAGTCGATGTCGAAGCATCACAACATTCGAGCGCGTGTCCACGTTGGGTATCGGCGGCGTTCGCATTTCGCATTGGTCTCATGCTTGGTCTCTTGACGTTCAACACTACACAATGTGAACGGTGAAATATATATGTGCGTACTGATATATATGTGACTATGTTAACATATAACTATAAAATTTATACATGACATCAAAGTTATCATTCATCAATAAAATCAACGCGCCGTTATGTCTATAAAATAGATACATAAATTCAAAATTAATAGAAAGTGGCAGTGAATAACACTCTAACCTCTTAAATAAATATAATTATTTTGTTGTGCGACTATAATGTGTAGTGTCTGAATTGTCATGTGATAATAAAATGCTGTAAACACTGTGACAATCAGTTTTAATCACTTGTGTCGATACCATCTAACAGTGTTGGTTAGCAACGGCCGCTTTAAGAAGCGTAATAACGGCTATTAAGAAGGTTTATTTTTCAATGTGTGATAACGACCGCTGTTTGATAAATGATTAACGGTCGTTAACTGATAAGCCCCGTATATAAACGATCGTTGAGGTAATTTACGAGTCGTTATTACAACTACAATCCGTTAGTGAATTCTATTCATATATTTTCTTAATTTTAAATCATGGAAGAATATTTGACTAATTTGACTGAGACCTTATTGCGGCACGATGATCATGACCATGATCATGACCATGACCATGACCACGAAGATGACGGTGATGTGATGCTGGCTAAAGGGGTCGCTATGATAAGCCTTTTTACTTTATCTATGATCTGTGGAATAATACCTATGAAACTTATAGCTGCTTAAAGTCTAAACAAAATGATAGCAAAGGCAAAAGATGCTCCAAGCAGCATCATGAAGACAGTTTAGAGCGAAGCGCGCCAGATGTAGAACAAAGAAAAATACAGGAGCCGACTACATTCAAGAAACACGGATTGTTCAACTACTATTAAATTTTGGAGGTGGCGTCTTGATGGCAACAACATTTCTTCATTTACTACCAGAGGTTAAAGAAATGTTGAAGCTCTTTCTGAAAATGGGCACATTCCGGAATTACCATTCCAATTGGCTGAATTACTTATGTGTTTGGCTTTTTTATAATGTTTTTGATTGATGAATCAGTGCACGTGTATATACACCGTCGCGAACGTATAAATGCCGCTATGCATCGAGCAGGTGAAGATGAGAAACTTGAAGATATATTTAATCGCAATTTAAGCTTTCGTAAACGCGGAAAAGATAACTCATTCTGTCAACAGAGTACATGCACAAACATTGATCAAAATCTCAATGACAATTGCGGCGAGATTTGCGTTATTTCTGGTAAAAATGACGTAAAGGCACCGCCTAAGCATATTGACAAAGAGGATGCTTTGGTTAAGAATGTAAGAGGATTACTTATTGTTTTAGCATTAAGCGTTCACGAGCTATTTGAAGGATTGGCCGTTGGCTTATCAAGTTCTACTTCTAACGTATATTACTTATTTGGAGCAGTCAGCGCACATAAATAGTAATCGCCTTTTGCATAGGAATCGAACTTGTGAGTTCGAATTTAAAAAACTAAACTAGTAATAGCTTACATTTTCACCTTCGCCGTAGTAAGTCCTCTAGGCATAGGATTGGGGCTGGTGGTAAGCAGCAGCGCAGCGCAAGGATTGCCCACGACCATATTACAAGGTATGGCTTGCGGTACACTGTTATATGTAGTTTTCTTCGAAATTCTTCTACCAAGCGTGCAAGGAAAACATGAACATTCACATTTTGGGGATGCTACTCATAACCATCATCAAACGCCTGCTTATGATTATTATACATCACCCCCACCAAATTATTCTAGTAGTGACAACCTAGATTCTGCAGAATCATCACAATCTCACGAAACTTCAGAGGGAAATAATGAGATATACCGGAGGTATGAGGAAAATATCACAAATCAAGGCGATAAGAAAGAAGAGATGATGAAAGAGTTTTTGCATCAGCTCGAGTTCATACAGAAAATGAACACAAACATCATGATCACGATATGAGCGCATGGAGCGATTTCAGCGGATTACTGCAGTATATTGCAGTTTTGATTGGATTTTTGATCATGTTTGGATTGCAATTCGCAACTGGCCATCAACATTCACATGGGGACGGTGGACATGAACACAGTCATACGCACAACGGACATGAACATGAGCACTGATTGGCGAAGAAGAAAAACTAGGAAGGTTGAGACTTAATCAGCTGTGTGATGAGGCCGGAGGACGGTATTTAAGATGACATCAGTTTTTATTTATTATTAATGATATTACTATATGCTATTTGTAGTAGGTATATGCCATTTTGTATTTTAATTTTATGATAGAATTGATTTTTATTCCATAATTAATGATTGTTTATTTAGAACAACATGTATTATAGATGCTTCTATGTTAAGAATTTGTAAAATGTTATATCGTAATTTTTTTAAAAAAATATATTTATTTAGAAATAAATAAATTTAATTTCAATGTCTGCAATGTACAAAAGAAAAAATGAAAACTTAATAAAATATTTTAAATAAAATTTTGAAATAAAAATTTTTTTTTTACTTAATTTTTTGTTTACTTAATTTTTTGTTTCTTAAAGTTTTAACTTTAAACATTAAAAACAGTAATTACTTCACTATATTATGCTAAAAATATATGTATTTAATATCATATTAAAAAAAAATTATTGAATTAATATTACGAACATATAAATTATTAACTGAACCGATATTAATTGGAAATAGAAGAGTAATTGGGAATAGAAGAGTCTTTGAAGAATACAGATTTCTTTCTTCTCTTGAGTTAAAATTATTTAAAAAAAGTAAATTGATTTCATACAATAAAATTTATTTAATAAATAGAAGTGAATATAATATTAAAAACTGCGGAGTTTGAAATAACGTTATCGATTTTTCTGCTCGAATATGCACAATAAATATATAAATAGTTTGAAGGTTAAAAGAAGTAGGATCAAGATATAATATGAAATATAATGACTGTGAAATTCACGTATTACAATGTAATATGATAACATTAAAATAACTATGAAGATAATCTTTGGCCAGATTAACTGCTTAAGTATTTATGGCATAAAAACTTATAGATCAATTACCTAATATAGATAAACTTAATAAACCTTACCCCAAGGAGACGTTACAAATTCATTATTTTTTATCATATCATTAGATAAATAATCATAAAAATTAATTAAAATTGTTTAAAAAAATAACATTACATTTCTATATTTACGGTAACAAAAATGAATTAAAAGCATTCAAACTCGTGACATTATTTTTAAAGCACTATTTATAGAGTTCCAAAATCATAGCAGCAGCTTATAAAAAGTAATTTTTTTGTTAGCAATTAAATATTGTTAAACTACTTGACATCAGGCCGTATGAGAAATCGTATCTGGACCTTCTGATTCAAAACCCATCGATCTAACCACATCTAGTCATCAAAACTTAATTAAAACCACATAAATATTAATAACCTGTGAAAATATTAATTGATTTATCATAGGTATAGGTAGGTATGTTAAAATCATTGTTATTAAGATTTTTAGAAGTTTGAAATTTGTGGAACATTCATCATAAGAATCGTTTATCATCTACTTTTATTGCCAATATATTGCCAAATTACTTTCATTTTTTGCTTATAATACTGAATAATAAAGGTAAGTATAACTTATGTAATAAAATTAGAAACTTTTACAATTCGAAATTTTCCTAGTTTTCAATTTTGCAAAGTGAACTTTGAAAGCTTGTATCATTAATTTTGAAATATGAGTCTATGAAACGTGAAAATAGACCCAAAATCGGAACACTAATACTTCATTTGACACTTTACATTACTGTAATAATGATAAATAGTAAAACAAACATTTAATTTTTAAACAAACATAAGAAAAAACCATAATTCGCACAATTTTGCAACACATATAACTAAACTTTAATTATTTTCATACATTTCTCGAATTATTCAAGCAATATTAAAATTATATAATGATTAATAATTATAAGAAAATATTTCCTTGTTCAATAATCTTGAATTCAATTTTATAAAGAATTCTAACATTTAGAATGCACTCGTACATTTCAAACACAATCTGAAACAAACAATTATACAAAGTTGAATGATTTGTTTACTTTTTTCAATTATCTCGTATTAAGTGATGTGTTTACAGTTTCAGATGAAGAATTTATTTTGTTTGCACATTTAGAGATTTAATCCAAGAATGTGGCTTTTGTTATTTTCCAATTAGCTCAAGAATTTTATACCTATCCCAAGAAGTTATGCGCATAATCAAAATAATCTTATTTTGATGTGAATAGTGGAAGCACAAACATTTTATAAAAAGTAATTGCGTATAAATTTTTGTTATAACGACGGTTAGTCGTTAACTGAAAGTATACAGTAATTATAAACAACATCCTCGTGTGAAATCTCGGAAACAACCAAGTTTAACAAAAATAAAACCACTAACAAAATTGTTTCAAAATTGGAAATATTTTTTTTATTATCTCTACATTTTGAACATTTTGGCATACCCTAAAAAATTATGTTTGGGTGCGTGTGTATGAGTATGTACATGTGCGTGTGTGTGTGTGGGCGGATGCAATTTTCGTCGTCGATTTCGAGATCACCGATTTGGATGATTCGACTAGTGGTGCCTCAAGGCAAATTGCTGGACTTCTCATTCCGAAAATTAACATTTTTAAATTTTTTTTTTGTAATATCGGAAAAAATACATTTCTAAGAGTTTAAAATTTCTAATACATTTTATTCTTGAAATTGTCTTTCATTTTTTTAAGTATTTTTCAAAACAATTGCGCTGCGTAGCTGTTTTAGAGACGAAATATAGAAGCGCGTAAGCGTCCCATCGCAATGTAACTGATAAATATTGGAACGAAACCCACAGAAATGTAAGCAAAGTTGATATTTATAAAATCTCTATAAAATATATAATTTTATGTGATTTGATCATTTTTGACCGTCAATTTTTTTACTTTTCATTATTGGATCTTTGAAACCGCTTGACCTTCCATTTCAAAAATTTAATCAGTTTTTCATTTTGTCGATACGAATAAAATACTTTTTGAATTACGCAAACTGAACGCTCCGTTGTTTCAAAAACTGAATTTTTATTTTAGGAACTTTTTGCCCCGTACCTTTGAAATGGCTGGAACTGCCTTTGCCGAAAACAAATTAGCACGTCTTCTCATCAATAGGAGTTTAGCGGTCAAAATGAATATCAGACAAATTATCATATATTTTGTAGATATTTTAATGATACAGATAAGTACAAATTTTGTTTATATTTTTATGGGTTCTGTGCCAAGGTTTCTAATTTTCCCAAAAGTTTTCTCAGTAAGTTACTGCATATATATATATAATTTTTAAACATCGCAACTTATGGTTTATTTATACGTATGACGAGTATACACGTCAATCACAAACACTTCTCCATAACGAGTATATTTGTCAATCACAGTTAACTGGTTAATATTGGAAAAAATCATACATGCAAATGATTTTATTTATGTAAGATATTACAATATTTAAGTGAACTTGAAGTATCAGAATTGAGTCATCATCTCAATGAACTTGCAAAAATATCTGACAATATAAACTGGTCAATAAAACATTTAAATATTGTAAATGAAATCACAATATTCCTTGAACCTGAATAGAAAAATAGAATAGAAAAGTGGAGAGAAAAATATAGCTCATAGAGAACAATATAGATTCCATATACACCATAAATAATTTTATAAGTAATAAGTTTTTATTAGTAAAAATATTAATACATGAAGGTTAAATAATCAGTAGAGTAAAAAAATCATTTCCAAAAGAATCAGTAAAACCTGACCATTGGACTTGGAGGTGGTCTGTTGTTGATTTCGTTCAATACTCCTTCCAGAATATTTTCAACAGTTGCGGAAACAACACCTGTGATCAATCCCTTGAAGATGCCTGTAACGACACCGACGACGGGATTTACAGCCAATCAGTCAAGGGATTTCCTTTGAAGCTGACGTTGATTTTTCTGAAAAAAGAAAATATATATAACATTATTACTAAATTAAATTTGGAGTTTGATGAATTGAAAATAATTTAAAACGACTGATAATACTTAGGATATTAGGTTTCAATTAGAGTAGAGTAATTAACAATGTGATATTTGTTCCTAACGAATGAAAAATATATTAGATAATTTTATCAGTATTAGTAAATAGATATTTAGTTATTGTATGTCGTATTTAGATTATTACAAATATACATATATTCAAAGGATTCAAAAATTACAAGCAAACTAATATAAAATTATGTTGTGTACATACATTGTATCAAAGTGGTACAAATATATTAGAAATATAAACTATCCTAATTACTAAATATAAAGTAAACATATGTATGTTAATGTATATATATATATATATATATATATATATATATATATATATATATATGTATGATTCTGAATTCTAATACCAATGATTATTAAAATTTTCCAATTTAACACTAAGATCAACTAATTGTAAGTACTAATTACTATTTTATTTTTTTCTTTTCACTCCAATTCAATTGTTTTAGTTTTTAATTTTATTTTTAGTTTCCACTGAATGAAGGCTAGGATTATAGCCGAAACGTATGGATTTAAAATAAATTTTTGAAAGAAATTCATGTTTTTATTGATGTTATGCCCGATTATTAGACTTTGTTAATATATATATATATTATATATATATAATATATATATATATATATTAATATATACATATATAAAGTAATTTTTAATGAATGCCTAATGTAGAAAAAATTGGTTTTTATAGGTGAATAATGATTTTTTTTTGAAATGGTTTAAAAAAGGTGTAAATATAAATAAAAAAAATTTTTGTGGCAAAAAGCAGGCCTTTAGTTTATAATGTACGATATTTATATATACGTATACACAGTGAATAAAAATTGCATCAAGTTTTGTTGTGAAATTTCAGAAACTCATGCATTTTTTCATTATATATATATAGGGTAGCGCGAGGCTCAAAGGCCTGCGTGTAAAAAGGTCCATCACCGATATTTCAAAACTCAGTAAAGTTGAGAACTTTGTAACAAAAATATTTGAAAGTAGAGGGAAAAAAAAGTATAACCAATCATCACGATTATCATTATGA